GGCGGCGGCGGCGGGACGCAAACTTGAACGAAAAAAACCCCAGCAGCAGTTGAACTGTTGCACTGATTCAGTATTCACTGAACTACTTTTGTATTTCCGAGGCGCTTACATCACCGCTGAAGCTGTCTTGTTCAGATATTCGCAGCTGTGGATGCTGGCGTTTCAGGATGACTTGCATCGTGCGGGTTTGCAATAGAAGATTCGTGGGCATTCAGAGAGCAACAGCTGCTGTTTCCAATGGCTTTCTTCGGCGTCAGCACAAACCTCATCAACTGCGGCACACCCAGTGCCAGCCAGAAATCAGAAAGCAGTGATATGACCCCCTATCAGGCGGTGATGGTAGCGAGAGAAGTTCGCTTGCGTGGGCTTACTGCCGCTCAACAAACATTTTCTCGGCTTCAGTTTGAATACGGACAGGCTTATGCAGCCTATCAGCAGCTGCAGGTTCGTTAGAGCTTTCTATAAATTCATGAATACACTGCACCAAGCAGCAGGCGAACGAGGGTCGCGGTCGCAACGGTAACCTCAATGGATCTGCAATTTTCTTCCGTTTTTTTTGCATATTATTATTATTTTTTTAATTAATATTATTTATTATTTTATATTTCGGTTTACAGGCGGATGTCAGTGCAAAAGCTGAAGCTATCGAGACGTATTTCAAGGGCCAGGAAGCCTCTGCTCGTGCTGTTTGCGAGAAAGCTGCACAAGCGAAACTCGTTCAGATGCAAGAAGGAGGAAATGATTATACTCATCCAAAATATCAATCAATTGTTTCAGGTTTGTTTCTTTGTGTTTCTCTGCTTTTCTCTGTCTTTTTCTCCTTCTTTCTCTGCTTAAATTCATATCTATCTACCTGTACTTGTGTTTCTTTTGCTTTCTTTATCTTTCTCTGTTTATATATCTCTCTTTATATACCTTTATCTATCAATCTGTTTCTCTCTCCATTTGCTCTTCTATCTATATTAATTTTTTTTTCTTTTTCTATATCTGAGTCTATCCGTCTCTCATTTCAGTATATTTCCATCAATTCTTTTCTTTTTTTATATTTCTTCTTTTTCTGTCAGAAAAAAAATATAATATAGACAGAAAGAAAAAAAATATAATATATTTTCTTGTTTTTCTTCTTTTTCAGGTCTTAGTGGAGACCGACGCAAAGCCGTTGATGAACTTCTCGTTCCTTATTTCGCTTTCACTGCTGAATTAGAAAATGCAGAAAACGCCCTCTGGGCGAAACACTCATCCCTTCAAGCTGCACAGGTTAAACTTCTGCTGCTGCTGCTGCTGCTGCTGCTGCGGCTGCTGCTGTTCCTTCTGCTGCTGCTGTTGCTGCTGATGATGCTGCTGCTGTTGCTGCAACGGCTGTTGATACCCCTTCTGCCGCTACTTGTGCAGCTGCTGCAGCTGCTGCTCTTGATCCTGATTATGCAGCTGCTTCTGCTGTAGGTTCTTGCTGCTGCTGCTGCTGCTCTGTGTTATTTTATTTATTGTTTTGCGTACCAGTTGTAATATCAGCTGACAGCAATGCGAATGCAGCAAAGCCCGTCGATCTGCCGTTGTTGTAGCTGCTGCTGCTACTGCTGCTGCTGCTGCTGCTGCTGCTGCTGATGGTATTACAATGCATGCGTTTGGGTCTGTATAGGAAGTATACAAGCTGTGGGCGATTGAGCTGAACGCAGCAGACGCTCAGCTGGCTACGATGCCGGCGGAGGCGAGTGCATCTGTAGATCGAGTGGGTGTAGAAAA